TTATTTTATCACACTTGAGCGGATTTAACGGATTTTCATATTAATATTATTATTATTGTTATTATTATTACTACTATTATTCAGCTTACCGGATATTTTTTAAACATATATAATAAATTAATTAACAATGATTCTTGTCTTTTTTGGATAGTCTATTACTATTTTTATATATATTACTTTTACCAATAATTAATGTCAGTATTGGCATTAATTATTTATTAGTAAAGTAATAATTATTTTTTTTTTGTTATATATTAACATTAATAATTTAATAATAATGATGAAAATGAATAATAAAATTAAAAAAATTTAAAATGAAAAGTCATAATAAAAATAACAAAAAAATTCCTTACGATTCACACTAAAAACGTTTTATTACATACTCTAACTTTCAAGAATTTCATGAGGAGACGTTACAATTCATATTACATCACGAGAAGTAGTTTATTTTTTGAGAATACGTTATTATTAATGATATTAATCCTTTTTTGATCGTAGTAGATGATGAAACATTTTTAATTTATAATCAGTCAAGTACACAAAACTTTGTTTTAAATGTTTTTTTTTAATTTAATAAATCAAATAAAGATAAATTTTATATGTCCTCGGCTATTTTGATTCGCATTATTAATAATTTTTAAAATGTGTTTGGAAAATCGATTCACATGATTATATAAAAACTCAGATTTACATTAACATGTTTTGTCATTTAATTTGACGGTCACATACAATAGAGTTTTCCTGGTCCTTTTTTTGCGCAGTCACACGACGTAAACCGCTTTTCGTAAACGCGTGACATGATCAAAATAATCGCAGAAATTACAACTCGCGTTAACAAATAATCTAGGGGAAAGGAATCATCACCACACAATCTTATTAATCAAAATAAATAATAAGCAGAAAAGAACAAAAAAAAACAGTTTTTTTAATTGGAAAAAATCAACGAAACATGATTAAAATTTGTATCGTGTTTTTAACATTTTACATTTTTCAAAAAAAAATGATCATTTTGACAAATTGTGTCAACACAAAAAAAAAAAATTTGTTCACCTCAATGTTTCGTATTTCAATTTTGCTCTGTTTACCAATAGTTCAGAGACAAGCCTTTGCAATATGCAATTTGCATATTCCATAGTTATAAAACGGACTGTAAAAGATTTCCTTTTTTGAAAAATTGTAGGTTAGATTTTCAAAAAACATGCAAGACTAATACTAATAAACAATTGTCAAGGTTTTCGAAATATTTATATGGATTTTTTTTTAAATTTTTATGGTACAATTATATAATGTCCGATGGTCCAGTCCAATGGAAATGCCAACTCTGCCTCATGTTACTTTTTAAAAACGATAACTTTTATAGCTTTAATTTGTCACGCTTTGGTATAATATGGTTACCAGCATCACTAAATAACGGTTCTGTAGGAACATATATAAAACATTCTCTAGGTCTTCTGTGATTCGTCAAAGTTTTGTATTTGTGACCTACATAATCTATCATTAGAATTTGTTTCTTCTTCATCATTAATTAAAACAATGCCATCATTTACTAAAGACATTTTTATTAGAAAATTTATCAATTTAAGTATTACAAATATTCGACACTTGAAAGTAATTATGAATATAAGTTATTGACGCCAATATCATTTCGATTTCTGATATTCGTATAGGAACATTACTCTGGATCAGTGAAAAAGATGTTAGTATTCAATAGAAGTAGTGTTGAAGAAATTATAGAGATCATTCAGTCGGCAGAAAATAAATGAAAAGGAATCATTAATTCAGAATATTTACAAGTAATTTGATCGACATACAATTTTAATAGAATACATGATAACTTTTATTATTATTATTTATACTAAAAAAAAACGGAATATAATTATTTTTCCCAGGTAACATGTATATATTAATATTCCAATTTGCACCTAACAACCCCTTTACTATAAATAGAACCCAATAACAACGCATTTCTTTTTCTATCAACAGCTGCAACTGTAACGAAACTGAAAAAGCTTCCATCATCTTGAAACACAATTTCTTTAGAATATTTTATACCATTGAATTTATCTTCATTTGTATTGTTGCTGATTTTCAAGATTATAGTTGGTATATGCGTTTCATATTGACCTTTGGAGAAGTGAACTATTGGCATAATCTTTGGAAATGCTTTATTATTTGGAAGTAAAAAAAAATTTATATATACAAATATTAATTTAGAAAAAACCAATCAACATATATATATATATAATAAGTTATATACACTTACTAGCTAAATAAATTTCACCAGTAATATCATCTACACTAATATTATCCCCAAAACCGATTTCAATATCATCAAGTAATTTTAGTTTGTTATCATGGTTTCGTTCAAATACAAAAAATTTGCCAGAACTTGTTGACAGGTAAATACGTGAATTATCCCAGTTACCATCTATCCCATTAGGATAACATATTTTATCTGCAGCTATTTCTGTTTTATTATTAACCCCAGAATAAAACACAACATTTGACCATGGACGACGTGTTATGACTTTATATATATAAGGGATAGAGTTAGACAATATTTTCATTAATAATTATAATTAATCAATCTATTAAAAAAAAAAACTAACATTCAAATTGTACCATAAATGGATTTTTGGAGTAATGAACATTTGTAACATAGAACTCGTTTTTAGAAACAGGGAAAACATTGTTTGGTGAATTAATCAGATCGTCTTTAATGGTTTCCATATAATGTAATTCTTGTGACCCGATTATATGACTAAAAATCTCAACCACACTTCCTGATCGTTTATGATTAATAAGAAATAGGTATAAAACATTATGATCAGCTGGATCTTGATGAATTCCAAATCCATGAAGAACTACATCTTCATCATCGGGTAATTTTTAAAATTAATTGGTAATAAAGTTTCTGACTGATCATATTATAGGAGGAGAAAATAGCAATGAAGAAGGATGGGAAATAAAGGGAAAATAATTTTAGTTAAAGTTATCCAATGGTAATAATAGAAATATATATTCTTATACATACATCAATGTTGTAGGAGAAAACTGTTTCTCTATATTGAATAATTTTATTTTTAAAAACTCCAGATCCTGGAAACCAATGAGTTCTTCTAAGTTCCGAATTGCCACAAGCCATAAAAGCATATCCACTTTCATGATGAATTACAATATCTTCACAAGCTTCTAGACCTTTTTCTTTCAATTGAAAGACAATTCATACATATACTTTTTATTTCCTTCAAGAAAGTTACCATGATAATAATAATAATATTTATTAATCAAACCTTCTATTTTTCTACACCTGTCACCAGAATAGGCTCTTGGTTTTTCACTAAACAACCCGGAAAAAGAAAGATAATCATAAACAGAATTATACGAGAGTGCAATTATCACGATAATGATAGCTAAGAAAATGGTTGTTCTGTTTTGCATTTTTTTTTCACTTTTTTTTAGTAAAAAATAAAATTTGAAAGGCGTGTGAGAAATAATCAATCGGGACTATGTGTAGATAACATTTTATTTCCATTTTTGATTAACCTTAATTAACCTTAAAATTTTAATTTTAGATATTGACCCACAAAACAATTTTCTTTTATATTCTCTATATAAGATAATATAAATTCATGCACAGCTTACTCATTGATTCCTTTCACCATTGTTTCATTCCTTTCACTATTTCTTGACTTAATTTAATTTGTTGAATGCAACACCTAGTTGCTCAAGAAAGAACTTTTTATTGTAATTAATGTTACACGTTTAATCAAAGTAAAAGAGAATTAGGCAAAGAGTAATAAAAAATGAAGACTATTACTATTATTATCTAGAAATATTGTTTTCTTTGACCGTTCGCATTAATTATCAAAGAATTCAAACGAAATCAAATTACTAAAATTTAAAATATGTTAAATAGACATCATTAATAATCGTTAAAATTTAAATTTTTCGGGATTAGATTCTTGATATTCTCCACGACAGCATCAATATTTGAGAAGTTGATGGAAAATGTTAAAGAAAGTAAACCTCTTGGACGTAACAAACTGATCAAGTTATTTTATAATCCAAAGTATTTAATAAAATTAATTTATTTGTTGCTTCAAAATTTGGAAACGAGGTTAGACTTGCAACAGACTGTCATCAATGAATAACTGATGATTGAGTTGCTTTGATTCTAGGAAGTTTGATAAATTTCAATATTAACACCTTGCTTGATTACAACAATTAAAAAATTTTCCGAGTACATTATAAATATTTGATAGTAATTCTGTTTTCATTTTATTAAAAAAAAATATGATGAAAGAAGACGGCAAAAGGAAAGCCGTATAAAAGAAAAAACTTTTTTTATATGTTGATTGATTTTCAGATGAAAATCATAACAAATCTTTGATTGTAATTTTCTCCCCCAAAAAAATGCACGAAACTGATCGAAACAATGAAGTAAGAAATATTTATTATATATAAATTGTTCATGCGATATTTTATATTCACATATTCTATCTATATCTATAATTATGCAAGACAAGTAATAATGATTACCTGGAAAGTTGCAAAACAAGGCAAAAAACTCTAAGAAATGAAATTAACAAGTTTAAAAATGAAATGAAAATAATAAAAACTAAAAATACAAACATTCGTAAAAAAATCAAAGAAATCCGAAACAAAATAAAAATCAATTATGAAATCAAAGTAAAAATCCACCTTTTTTTTTTTTTTAATTTTCATATGACTATTATTATGATAATAACTATAATAATATTCTTTAAAAAAATCAGACATTTAATCAAATCCCGCAAACCAACATTGAGAAATCGATGGCAATGATGTCTATTAATGATTGTGATTGTAATTGTGATGTGATTGATTGAAGAATGAGTGTAAGTGATGAGGAAATTTGAATTAGCGATAATAATATCATGAATGAATGAATGAATGATGGATAATATATTCTTTTATTTTATCATCTAATCAACTATTTTATTATTATCAGCCTTTATTTATTTATCGTAGTAAAGCGCCATATGCGCATCTTTTATCGTTAGTCCACATTTCTCATAAAATGGAATATTTTTCTCATTACAACTCAAAACGATTTTATAACATTCTAATTTATTTCCCAAGTATTTTAGCTGCTCAATTATCCTAAATAAAATAAAAAAATTTATCATCAAAGATGTTGTTGGAAATACAATAATCCCAAGATTATGAATATTTTACCTTTTACCAAGACTTTTGCCTCTCTGTGAATCATGCACAACTATATCTTCAATATGCCCCACCTATCAATTCAATAGTGGTAGTATATATATAGGAAGGAGATTTTATAGTCAAGAGTATTCATAGTGAATAAATTAACCAATAGGAGGGTAGGTAAATCAATTGAGCAATAATATATATATTTATACCTTTCCACAACTTCTTAAAAACTTTAATTCGACCAACAATGTTCCAACACCAACAATTTTTTCTTCTTCATTCTCAATCACAATTATATAATATCCTTTTGAACTTTTCATTTGATTAAAATGTTCTATATAATAATAATAATAATAATTGTATATGGTTATTGTTAATTTGATTCCAAGGAAAAATAAAAATCAAGTTACTAACCAATAAATTGTTCTTTAGAAGGATTTCCAATGACTGAAAGTTGCCCCAGACATTCAATTACTCCTATATTTGAAACATAATAATAATGTATCATCTTATATCATTTCTATCTCTAATATTATTTATTTTCTAATTAATTTTTACCTTTCTCAAAATCATTTTTTGCCAAAGGCCTTAATTTATAATTTATTGGTAAAGAATTTTGTATTTCGGAGGAGATTAATGATTGTTCAAAAAGATATTCTGACATTTTTTTTTTAATAAAATGATGTGAGAATTAATTTGTATTACCTATCACTATATTTGAAGCGACGTTAGCATAATTCCATGCATTTCTTTGTTGCACATGTATATTTTGAATCTTATAAGAGATTTGATTTAATCAATCTCCAAATATTAACTCTTTTCAATAAAACCTACCAAATACAAATGAATTCTTTATAAAGTTGTTCTCTTATTTCTAATGCCTTTTTATCTTGATCAATGTCAGTTCGTCGCCTAACACAAAGTTTCTCAGTTTGTTTTGCAGTGATTATATTATTTTGCAGAATTCATTATCTGTAAATGGTTGGTATAATTTCTTTTTGAAATATAAAAAACCATCAATGAAAAATTTTGTTGTTACACGGTTAAGATCCGCGAGTATACTACCTAAAAAAAGAAAATCATTGTATTTGGAATTTTTTGTTCTTTGTTAATGCATCATGTCCAACCATGGAAAAATAAATGCTACGGTAACGAATAAAGCGTGGTCGCAGAAGGAAAGCCTAATACTACTAAGCTCAACATATTAGGTATAATATTATTTGTTTTATTTTTTAGAAATGATTTTTAAGGAACTCCACAACTTGGAATTGTATACAATCGGGAAGGGAAAATAATCATGTGTAGGAAAGGTTTAATAGAATGTTTTATTTCTGTGAAACTATAAGCTCAATGTCATTTGGATTATTGCTCAATTCTGGATAGTCTTGTAATATTTATTTTCATGGGCAATATTAATCATTTATATAGATTTAAGAAAAAACATAATGCCAAATAATAATGACATCAAATGAAATGTACTCGGTAATTACACAGACTGCACAGCGCAGAGGTTATGTAGAGAGAGATGCAAGAAGTTGCACTGTATGTATATTGGGATATCAAAAATTTCTAATGACTTGATAATTTAATTATTTACAAACAAAATATCATTACCACCATTTTTCGCTAATGATTTTTTTGTCATCAACGCCAGTTTCTTTCAACCAACTAATAATATCATCTTCCATTTGGCTAGGTCCACATATAAAACACTTGAAACCGTTTAAATCATCATTAGTTTCTTTCTTCTCCTTGTCAATAACATCTCTTATAATCTGTTTGCTGATTCTTTGTCCATAAACAGTTTTATTTTCCGTAGTGATTTCATCTACTCGATTAGGTGGTGATAGAGATGATGATAAAGATGATATATCACCATCTTCTCTAGTTAAGAAACATTTACAATCCAAAATATGTGACAATTGAGTTCTTATATTTTCAATTCTATTGTAAAACAAAAGCTCGTTAAACCGTCTTGCGCTATATAACAATTGAATCCTATTGACAAATCCATCATCATTATCTACACCACCAATTCCTTTAATATTTTTTTCAAAAATCGATTGTAACATGCTCATCAATGGATTGATTCCAACACCACCAGCAATGAACAGAATGTTATTGGTGGATTTTTCTTTTTTGTCATCCCAAACAAATTCACCACCAATTCTAACTTTGACAAAATCGCCTATTTTTGATGACTCGTGAAACCATTTTGAGGGAGGGTGAGATGAATATTTTATCGCTAATTCGAATAACGAGGTTTTTTTATAGTATAGTGGGGTAGATGTTATTGTAAATCCACCTGTTATTGGTATGTTTGGTATAAAAACATCCACCCATTGGCCTGGTAAAAAATCAAAATTTATTATCGAAGAAGGCGATGATGATTGAGGTTTTAATAAAAAGCTTTTAACCGTTGGTGTTTCTTGGGTTATTTTAATAATTTCTGATAAGATAATTGACTATTAATTTGATTTTTTTGATTTTTTGATTTTTTATTTTGATTAATTATTATAAATAAATATTCTAAATTTAAAAAAATTTAATCCATAAAAATTAAATTTACCTCTTGTCTCTCAATATGTTTAGTTCTTTCAATGTGTGTTGATTTTGTGTCCATATTAATAAATTTACAAAGTTTAGTTTTCAAAAATAATAAATTTTGTAATCTTGTACAATGATTTTTCAACATTGCAAAAAAAAAAATATATTAATATATTTTAAAAATAACAACCCACATGCCAATTTTGTCATATTATAAAATGCACGTGACCACGACCTTCTAATTAAAGTATTGATAGTAATAATAATAATATTATTATTATCTCAGATTAATTTCGAAATTAACTATGCAGGAAAATATCTTACCCGTTGCATTGTCTTATCCAAGGAAAAAAAAAAGTTTTCATAATCAAAAATCAAAAGAATTTGACACCAATCTTTGATTTGCGTAGCTCTGTACTAAGATCCATTTAATTATGGAATAAATAATATATCACACGTCGTCAATATATGAGCTATAATATTTCGAGTTCGAAGAATTGTGTCTAAGATCTCAAATTTTGGCAAATTCGTAGGATCAGTTGATTTCATACAATCACTGCACTATATTTCGCAGTTTTGTTCCAACAAAATCTACTTTTTTACGCAAAAATAAATAAATGCAGCTGTAATGATTAAATGCAAAATGATAGGCAATTTGGAACATCTCTTTGTGATAAAAATTGTCACGAATTATTACTGAGATGGCAAAAGGTAGAAGTAAAAATAATAATATTAGATTCTTTGGTTAATATGGTTTTTATTTGATTCGCAGAGGATTCAACATGAACTCGTTATGTAAAGTTCATATGAAAAATATCAGAAGCTTTTACGCCGATTCCTATCCATCAAACTGCTATAGTTGGCGAAAGGTCAATTTTCCCAACAATACTTCCAACAACATTCACACAGTTATGACAAGATGATACTATAAACAGATTCTAGCTATTCTCATTATAATATAGCAAAAATTCGAACACCAAAGACAACACAATTCAAATTAATACATATTTGTTGGTTGAATTTCATCTGTGATGTATATTTTATTGACGATGAATGTTGATCCAATAAGCGGTAAGTGCAGTGGGTACGTACAATTTTATGATGATTATTTCTGAGACTTAAGGGAAGAAAATACCCACGAAAGAATTAGTACAATTATAGCGAAAATTAAAGTCTGATGAATATAGTCTTCAAAGTAAACTTTATATACTCCTTTTTTTACGCTCCTTCCAAATATCTCGTTGTCAGTAAAATGGTTATATAAATAATATACAGTTATCTCCCGGTTACACAATAACGTATGATCGTAGATTTTGATAGTTATCATTCTGGTCTTATTCATCTCAGGGATGATAACTATTAAATCCCGGTAGGTGGTGAATAAACCTGAATGATAACTCAACGATCTACTTCATTACACAATATGTGACTGGGTGATAACTTCTGTTGCTCTGACTTCAAATTTTTATCAGTCGCAGGACATTGCGGATTTACAGGGGGTCAAGTGTCACTCATATATATAGTTGGCTCGGTCTAAAGACCTCCTAAATTTTGGGCAAATTTTAAAAATATAGAAGTCATTTTCTGTCCTACCTTTTAAAAAATAGCCTCATTAGTTGGTAAAATAGGTTTCTACTTTTAATGTAATGAAGAGATTTTCTCCAAAAAATTATTTATTGTAGAGTTCTATTCTTTTTTAAAACATGTACTTTACTATGCTCATGAGAAATTTGAGCGCTAGGATCATTGCTAAATTTAGACTATTTTTTGATCATCCTTACTAAATTTAGCCTAATACTCGACCATCATATCTAAATTTGGCAGTAAGGAAAATAGCTTTTTAACCAAAATCACGTGTAACAATTTTTTAAAAAATTTATTGCATTTTTGAACGAATCACGAAATTGTAATTTTTGAAATTTGAGCGCGTGGCGCAGCATCAGGAGGTCTTTAGACCGAGCCAACCATATAAAATTAAACAAGTTTTGTAATCAAGGATGTGCAAGTGAGCAGGGAAAGACCATTCTATATTTCCCGTACCACTGTTTATTTACAAATATAGGCAAACAACAAATTTAATTTACAAAAAAACAAAAATCATACAATCTATCCCAAGTAAGGAAAAAAGCAGTGTTACGGGATTTGAGTAATCTTTATAAGTGTTAAAGAATTTGCTATTTGATCGATGCGTACTATTAAATTATTGGCACTTTGTTTTTTTTTGTTGACGTGCGATTGACTTTTTTTTGGAAAAAAATTTATTTTCAAAGATGACAAAACACGAATGTTGTTGTTTGGCATGGCTCTGAAGATGTGTTAATAACCAACCAGAGGCAACTATATTTTAATTTGCATTGATATGTTATTGAAATCAAACGTGGAGCAGAACTCTCTGGGTAATTATAAGATCCTTATCAAGATGACAACAAAACAAACGATTGGTATTTTACTTTTTGTGATCAGTAATGTTAATATTAATGTAAATATATAATTACATGAAGATGTCAAGGCAGCACACCACTGAATATGAAATAATTCAATATGAGGCATGCATGTTACCTTGAACATTTTACAGTCATTCTCATGTCTTCCTCGTTGTACACAAGGCTAATCTGACTGAAAAGCCCGATGATACAATGTTGCAACAAAATTCCAGGGAGTGAGTCAGGCCCTGGGGTTTATCAAGGTTGCATCAACATCAATGACACTTTCACCAATCTTCCCAGACCAGTGAAGGCTGCTGACATGCTAGCCGAAAAGTTGTCTGCAAGCAACTCTGGAAGAATATTAGAGAATATGCAACTTGTTTCAAGCATAGTGAGGTTACAATTCAGAGCAGGGTTGGTGGCCCTGAAATTGCATTTGGGCTTTGATGTTAGGAGGAAGGCTGTAAAGTAAAATGGATCAGATTTTGTTTGGTATGTTATAAATTTATCATTTTCATAAATTCTTTGCTTCTCTTTAATTTCTATTATTTAATGGGGTAGGTTTGTTGGTAAGTTGGAATGCCACTGACAAGACAGCAACCCAGGACTCAAAACTCTGAACTCAGGGAAAATCCAATACAGTAACTTTATTCTAGTGAGAGGGGTATAACACAAAGTAATCATCACACAA